ACATCTGCCTGTTACCCAGTTCCAAGGTTGCTTCCACATTTGGGGTATCTTTTCAGCAGCACCCTACTCCTGGTAACAATTTGCTTAATTAGTCCATTTTCACACTGCTGACAAAGACATATCCGAAACTGGGTAATTTACACAGGAAAAACTCTTTAATGGACTTACAGTTCCACATGGCTGAGGAAGCCTCACAATACTGGCAGAAGGCGAGGAGAAGCAAGTCATATCTTACACAGATGGCAGCAGGCAATCAGAGAGCTTGTGCAGGGAAACTCCCTCCTATAAAACTGTCAGATCTTGGGAGACTTATTCACTATGACAAGAACAGCATAAGGAAGACCTGCCCCCAGGATTCAATTACCTCCCACCAGGTCCCTCCTACAACACATGGGAATTCAAGATGAGATTTGGGTATGGACACAGCCAGACCGTATCACCAGTATTGTTTTCCATTACTCTACATCAAGTGATTTTTTTGTGAGGCATTCCTACTGTAATGCCTTTTAAAATCCTATTTTCTAAGCACTTTTGTCTATACAGTATCTACTCCCAAATCAACAGCACCAAATGTCAGGCTGATTGTTTAGCCTTTTTCCGTGTAAGATCATGTTTAGCATCCATTCCAATGTTATTGATTTGGGATATATTTCAGTACCACACCATCACTAAATGAAAGTTTAGTTAACACTGTTATGAGATATTAAGATTTAAATTTTTCAATGGCATAACAGCCACAACTTCCAATGCACACAAACAACAGCATGGTTGACCCACTTCTGTCAAAGATCAGGAAATATATCTACCAGCTAAAGTGGTTCCACCATATAACAGAAATCAAAAAATTCTTTGAAATAAATAAAAGCAGAGACACAAGTACCAAAATCTCTGGGATGCAGCAAAAGCAGTGTTAAGATGAAGTTCAGAGCACTGAATGCCTACATTGAGAAGTTAGAAAGCTCTCAAATAACAATCTAACATTAACCTAGAAGAACTTGAAAAACAAAAACCCCAAAGCTAGCAGAAGAAAAGAAATAACTAAACTCAAAGCAGAACTGAACAAAACTGAGACCCAAAAATCTATACAAAGGATCAAGAAAACCAAAGGTTGGTTTTCTGAAAGAATAAACGAAACGGATAGACCAGTAGCTAGATTAACAAAGAAAAAAGAGATGATCCAAATAAGCTCAATCAGAAATGACAAAGATGGCATTACAACCAATCCCATAAAGATACAAAGATCCTAGAGACTATTATCAATACCCCTATGCACATAAACCAGAAAACCCAGACACAGACCAAAGGAACAGAATAGAGAACCGAGAAATAAAGCTATTCATCTAGAAAATCTGAGCTTTGACAAAGTCAACAAAAATAAGCAATGAAGAAAGAACTCCCTGTTCAATAAATGGTGCTGGGATAGTTGGCTATTATATGCAGAAGAATGAAACTAGACCCCTATCACTATATACAAAATTTAACTCAAAACAGATTAAAGACTTAAATGTAAGACCTAAAGCTACAGAAGTTCTGGAAGAAAACCTCAGAAATGCTCTCCTGGAAATTGGCCTTGGCGAAGAATTTATGACTAAGTCCTCAAAAGCAATTCCAACAAAAACAAAAATTGACAAATGGGACCTGATTAAAGAGCTTTGACACATTAAAGAAACTGTCAACAAAGTAAACACCCTACAAAATGAGAGAAAATATTCACAAACTATGCATGAGACAAAGGTCTAATATCCAGAATCTATAGGGAACTTAAAACAGATCAACAAGCAAACAACAAATAACCTCATTAAAAAGTGGGCAGAGGGCTGGGCATGGCGGCTCACACCTGTATTCCCAGCACTTTGGGAGGCCAAGGTGGGCAGATCATGAGGTCAGGAGTTCGAGACCAGCCTGGCCAACATGGTGAAACTCTATCTCTACTAAAAATACAGAAATTAGCTGGGCATGGTGGCGGGCGCCTGTAATCCCAGCTACTCAAGAGGCTGAGGCAGGAGAATCACTTGAACCCAGGAGATGGAGGTTTTAGTGAGCCAAGATCACATCATTGCACTCCAGCCTGGGCGACAGAGCAAGACTCCGTCTCAAAAAACAAACAAACTAAAAAAAGCAAAGTAAACACCCTACAGAATGAGAGAAAATATTCACCAACTGTGCATCTGACAAAGATCTAATATCCAGAATCTATAGGGAATTTAAACAGATCAACAAGCAAAAAACAAATAACCTCATTAAAAAGTGGGCAGAGGTCAAGCATGGTGGCTCACGCCTGTAATCCCAGCACTTTGGGAAGCCAAGGAGGGCGGATCACTTGAGGTCAGGAGTTCAAGACCAGCCTGGCCAATGCAGCAAAACTCTCTCTACTAAAAATATAAAAATTAGCTGGGCATGGTGGCACACCTTTATAATTCCAGCTACTCGGGAGCCCGAGGCATGAGAATCGCTTGAACTTGGGAGGTGAAGGTTGTAGTGAGCCGAGATCGTGCCACGGCACTCCAGCCTGGGTGACAGTGAGAGTTCGTCTCACTGTCGACAAACAAGTGGCCAACAAACATGACACATGAAGAAATACTCCACTCTGCAAACCAAAACCACAATGAGATACCATCTTGCACCAGTCATAAAGAGTATCATTAAAAAGTCAAAAAATTACAGATGTTGGCAAGGCTACAGAGAAAAGGAAACACTTAGCCAGTGCTGGTGGGAATGTAAATTAGTTAAGCCACTGCGGAAAGCAGTTTGGAGATTTCTCAAAGGACTAAAAATGGAACTACCATTTAACCAAACAATCCTACTACTGGGTACATACCCAGGAGAAAACAAATCATTCTACCAAAAGACACATGCGCTTGTATGTTTACCTCAGCACTACTCATAATAGCAAAGATATGGAATCAATCTGGGTGCCCGTCATTGTGGATTGGATAAAGAAAATGTAGTACATATATATCACGGAATACAAAGCCATTAGAAAAAAACAAAACTACGTCCTTTCCAGCAACATGGATACAGCTCAAGGCCATTATCCTGAGTAAATTAAGAGAGACCCAGAAAAGCAAAGTGTTCTCACTTAAAAGTGCAAGCTAAATACTGGGTCCCATGGACATAAAGTTGGGAACAGCAGATACTGGGGACTACCAGAGGGGGAAGGGAGAGGGGCAAGGAGGAAAACTGCCTATTGGTTACTAAGCGTACTGCCTAGGTGACAGGATCATTCATACCCCAGACTTCAGCATCACATGATACATCCATTTAACAAACTTGCATATATACTCCCTGAATCTAAATAAAAGTTAGGAAAAAAAAAAAAAGACATGAACAGACACCTCTCAAAAGAAGACACAGACACAAAAGCAGCCAACAAACATACGGAAAAATGTTCCACATCACTAATTACCAGAGAAATGGCAATCAAAACCACAATGAGATACACCGATCTTGACTTCAAGACAGGTTTGAGTCTTAGCCCTCTCACTTCCTGCGTGTATAACCAGGGAAACTTAATTTCCATGAGACTCAGTTTCTTCAACTATCAAATGGAGAGCTAAAAAAAAAAAAAAAGTCTACTTCATTTAACATATGCTGGAATGTAGTATACACTCAAATTCTAGTTGTTACAATTATTTTAAAACTAGCCAAAAAAAAAAAATTAGATTTAAATATCCAAGGATATCCATGGTGGCTCATGCCTGTAATGCCAGCACTTTGGGAAGCCAAGGCAGGAAGATCTTTTGAGCCCAGGAGTTCAGGACCAGGTTGGGCAATGTGGCAAAACCCTGTCTCTACAAAAAATACAAAATTCAGCCGGGTGTGACGGTGCACCTGTAGTCCCAGCTACTAAGGAGGCAGAGTCAGGAGGATCACTTGAGTCCAGGAGGTTGAGGCTGCAGTGAACTGTGATTACACCACCGCACTCCAGCCTGGGTGACAGAGCAAGATCCTGTCAAAAAAATTTTTTTTTAAGATATTCAGCAAATATTATTGAGTGCCAACTCTCCACAAAGTCTACTGTACCTGAGTAACCTCATGGAGCAGTCTTTCAAAAACTAATAATCTAATAAGAGAGATAGCCATTCTCTCTAAAAAGGAAAACTGTTAAAAGCATTAACAAGGAGAGGTAGATTTAATAAATCATGGGCAAACCGAAGAAAGATAAACTAATTCTGATCTAGAAATGGTTCTTTAAAGGTAATGTGAACAGTGCCTTGAAAGAAGCAGAGTCAGATACACTCCTTGAACCTTATTCCAGACCAGTGGTTCTCAAACTTGAACATGCATCAATATCACAGACAGCTGTTACAACACACAATGCTGGACCTATCCCAGACTTTGTGACTCAGTAAGTCTGGGGCAGGGGCAGGGGTGGCGGGTGGGGGAGGAGTGTCTGAGAATATCTATTTCCCAGGTGACACTCATGCTAATGGTCAAGGAAACCCTCTGAGAACTGCTAATCTAGACACACAGTGCTTGAACAAAACTGACAGGTGATATACAGGGTATGCCTCAGGAAGTGTAAAAGGGCAGCTGCAGGAACACAGGCTTTGCACGTGTAGTTAAGGCACATGGTCAGAAGTCTAAAAATGAAAACTTTCTAAATAAATCACTTTCTAGGATAAGTTACCTTTCCTAGGAAGGTGAGCTGACATTCAAGATATTTAAGTACCCCTCTGTGCTAGGACATTTATTCTCTCTAACCTGGTATCTTTTAACTCTACTCCGTACCATCAGCTTTGCATCGCATACATAAACAGTAAGGTAATGAGGCCACAGCAGATTTCTGATCATGAGTTATTTAAATCTACGAAGAACAGAACAACGGTGTCACTCTGCTATTATTTATAAACAAGAATATAACACTAACACATCCCGAATGTTAATATTTTACCTAGCATGCTATAGGTTAAACTTCTTAAAAAAACAAAACAAAACAAAACAAAAATTTGAAATCTAACAGTTTCACTTACGCATTTTAAGAAACGTTTCATACTCACCAAAGCCATCAATATCTAGATTATTTTCAACCACAACATCTAGCAGAGAATCACCAACTTTTCCTTTGGTTGTTAATGTTTCACCATCACGGTTTATAAAGTGGACTGTTATTTTATCTTCTGAGCTGGAAAAGAAAGCAGTCCTTTAGTATTTTTAGTAATTTCAAAACATAATTCAAAATAATTGGTTTAAAAGCCTATAAGGCCTTCAGAGTAGATGGGAACACAGGTGCCCAACACCATGCCTGGCTAATTTTTTTATTTTCATTTTTTGTAGTGACAGGGTGTCACCATGTTACTCAAGCTGGTCTCAAATTCCTGGCCTCAAGCAATCTTCTCAATCTGGCCTCCTAAAACTCTGAGATTACAGGCCTGAGCCACCATGACTAGCCGAAAGTATTTTCTTTTCTTTCCAAAGCTTATTTGGGAAGAAGGCAACACAAATCAAAGGCATCTATATCTACCCAGCTACCAGATAATAAGCTCTACTACCTTACAGGAAATGGCAATGACTACCTGGTCAAATGGCCTCAGTATATGTCTCCCTAATAGTCACAGTTATAAAACATTTGGCAATTATTATCACTCACGAACTCTATTTTACTCTCATACAAGCCAGTGCAATAGCTTGCACCTGTAACCCCAGTACTTTCAGAAGCTGAAGTGAGAAGATCGTTTGAGGCCAGGAGTTTGAGACCAGCCTGGGCAACAAGGCAAGATCCCATCTTCACAAAAAATAAAATAATTAGCCAGGTGTGGTGATGTGATCTGTAGTCCCAGCTAATTGGGAGGCTGAGACGGGAGGATCCCTTGAGCCCAGGAGGAGGAGGAGGCTGCAATGGGATATGACTGCACCACTGCACTCCAGCCTGGGCAACATAGCAAGACCCTGTTGTTCAAAAAGAAAAGGCCAGCCGAGCGCGGTGGCTCACGCCTGTAATCCCTGCACTTTGGGAGGCCGAGGCGGGCGGATCACGAGGTCAGGAGATCGAGACCATCCTGGCTAACACGGTGAAACCCCGTCTCTACTAAAATACAAAAAATTAGCCGGGCGCGGTGGCGGGCGCCTGTAGTCCCAGCTACTCGGGAGGCTGAGGCAGGAGAATGGCGTGAACCCGGGAGGCGGAGCTTGCAGTGAGCCGAGATGGTGCCACTGCACTCCAGCCTGGGCGACAGAATGAAGACTCCGCCTCAAAAAAAAAAAAAAAAAGAAAAGAAAAGGCCAAGTGTGGTGGCTCACACCTGTACAGGAGCACTTTGGGAGGCCGAGGCTGGGGACTGCTTGAGCCCAGGAGTTTGAGACCGGCCTGAGCAACATAGAGAGACCCTATAGCTACAAAAAATAAAAATAAAAATGAGATGGTTGTAGGTGTGTGAAAAATAAAGGGCATGGTGGTATTTGCCTGTAGTACCAGCTACTCAGGGGGCTGAGGTGGATCACCTGAGCCCAGAAGTTCAGGGATGTAGTGAGCCGTGATTACACCATTGCACTCTAACCTGGCCAACAGCTCAAGGCCCTGTCTCAAAAAAAACACGTAAAAACGTAGTCGCATGACTCTGAAAAACATGAATGTGTCCATAAAAGACTAGACCAGGGTTGTAGTGAGCTTTTAAAAAGCCAATCATGGCTGGGCATGGTGACTCATGCCTGTAATCCTAGCACTTTGGGAGGCCAAGGCGGGCGGATCACCTGAGGTCAGAAGTTCAAGACCAGCCTGGCCAACATGGTGAAACCCCGTCTCTACTAAAAATACAAAAATTAGTCAGACATGGTGGTACATGCCTGTAATCCCAGCTACTTGGGAGGCTGAGGCAGAAGAATCGCTTGAACCCGGAAGGCGGAGGTTGCAGTGAGCTGAGATCACACCACTGTGCTCCAGCCTGGGTGGCAGAATGAAACTCTGTCTCCAAAAAAAAAAAAAGGAAATCATTCTGCTCTCAACACAGCAACTGCTGTGCAAGTGCTACATAGACTACTATTGCTGAGAGACGTTGTTTAATAGTTTCCTGCCTATTTGACATCTCATTTCAGTCCACATTGTATACTTACAAATCAAAGGGACTAGAAAAAGTTTTTTATTTGTTTGAATCTGTAAGATAAATACCTCCTTACATGTTTTATAAGATAGTAGGTTAGCTATCAGCTAGCTGACTTAAATTTCCTTCACTTCTCACAAACATCCCTCCAAAACTTGAGAAGACATTATACTAGCAACTAGATCCTTATTCCTCCACCATTGGTCATTTTAATTTTTACCTCACACTTGAAAAGATTCTCTTCAACTTAAAATAATGAGTTGTTATTCTTACTACTACCAATAGATGGCAACAGTCCATCAAACAAATCTTAATATAAGTAAAACTCAGAATTAAATAATTTCAGAGCCATCACTATCTCAAAAGTTACCAAGTCCAATGATCCCATTTCACAAATGAGGCAACTGAAGCCCCACTGGATAATGCCCTCCCTAATATTATAACACTGGAAAAAAAAACCAGGATTCTATTCATTAAAACTCATCAAAAGGGTGTGTGTGTTCAGGAATGTTCCTCAAAAGGGCCTGCGCTCTCCAACTTCTTTTCACAGCCAAAAATGCTTTAAAACTAGTATTCCCACATATTATTCATGACTTTCAATATGAATAACTGCAATTTTTTTCAAAGTAGAATGACTGAGAATGAAAATACCCCAGAGGCAGGGAGACCACTTTGGAGGTTATCAAAACAGCATAAACTAATCAAGGACGGAGAACACAGTGACCTAACAGACATCCAGGAGGTAGACCGAAAGGTTTTAGTGACCATCTACTTAAGCTAAGTGGAAAAGTGGGGAAGAAAATCACGCAATTAGGTGGTACCATTTAACCTAGATTTAAGACAGGAAACAAAGGAGCTTTGGGGAAGACGGAAATAAGTTGAAGATTAGACCTGCTGAATTTAATAATGAAAAAGCCGGATAAGAATGTCCAAAAGCCAGATGGAAATAAGGGTATGGGTCTGAGCCCAGCAGGGAAGTTTAGAGATTTGACATCAATGAATGCCTGGCAGCTAAAGCTACAGGAAGTACATTAGAAAGAATTCCATCATTTATACACACTACTGAAAGCCAGAGGTTTTAGCGTTGTTGTTCTTCTGAAGCACTCTAGAGTTAAGCTTACAGCAAAGGAATTCAAAATCTCTTTTACATCAGCCTCCTCTTCTATAAAATCAGGACAACATTAATCTTACAGTTCTGACAATGTATGCAAAATATGTAACACATAGTAGAATTCAACAAACACTGATTAATAACTTTTATTTAAAGACCAAGCCCTTTTGCTAAGAAGTCCAACCTGTTGGTCTGTATTAAAAGTCAACAGCCCTACAAAAAACTGCCAAGTAAGAGTACTAACAGGTTTACGAAAGAATAGGAGAGGAAGTGGAAACGAGAGAAAAAAGTAATTCTTCAGTTGAAAGAGTATGGAACCTAAGAGTCAGAAGATGTAGACACTATGCCGGGAGTGGTCACTCACACCTGTAATCCCAATACTTTGGGAGGCTGAGGCAGGCAGATTACTTGAGGCCAGGGGTTCGAGACCAGGCTGGCCAACATGGTGAAACCTCATCTATACTAAAACTACAAAACTTAGCCAAGTGTGATGGCGCGCACCTGTAATCCCAGCTATTCGAGTGGCTGAGGCACAAGAATCGCTTGAACCTGGGGGGCAGAGGTTGCAGTGAGCCATGATGGCACCACTGCACTCAGGTGAAGAGTACACCAAAATCACCATTAAAGAACGTACCCATTAACCAAACACCACCTAAGCCCCAAAAACTACTGCAACTTTAAAAATAAATAGAAATTAAAAAATTTTTTAAATTCACAAAAACTTCTTGAGTTCTAGTCCTAGTTTTGCCAGCTACTTAATATGAAATATTTATTTCCATTTACCTACCCTCCCTACCTCATAGAATTGTCTTAAGAGTCACATGAAATAATACACGTGAAAGCTCTTTGTTACCTAAATCACTGCAAAATGTAAAGTATTGTGTCACTGTATTTTAGAGTAAAAGGAGTTTTTCTGACTCTCAATCACTAATAGCTTATCGAGTTGTTAAAACTTCAAACACAGAACTACAGTTTCTAGAACTGCTCTGCCTGTCCCTAAGAACTTTGTGCCATAACAAAGATGTTCTACACATACCTGCAATGTCCAATACAGCAGCCACTAGCCACATGTGGCTACTGAGTACCTGAAATGTGGCTAGTGTAACTGGGAGATTGAATCTTTAATTTTATTTACCTTTAATTATCTTAAACTTCAATAGCCATATGTGATAAGTAGCTACTGTATTGGACAGCACACGTTTCATTAACACAGTAAGAACTGGAAAATCCAGTTGTAGCTCCAAGGTCTGTAACAGAAATGATAAGACCATGAATAGAAATTGTGCCAGGCCGGGCGCGGTGGCTCACGCCTGTAATCCAAGCACTTTGGGAGGCCGAGGAGGGCGGATCACGAGGTCAGGAGACCGAGACCATCCTGGCAAACAAGGTGAAACCCTGTCTCTATTAAAAATACAAAAAATTAGCCGGGCGCGGTGGCGGGCGCCTGTGAGTCCCAGCTACTCGGGAGGCTGAGGGAGGAGAATGGCGTGAACCAGGGAGGCGGAGCTTGCAGTGAGCCGAGATTGCGCCACTGCAATCTAGCCTGGGCAACAGAGCGAGACTCCATCTCAAAAAAAAAAAAAAGGAAATTGTGCCAATAAAGAGGGCAGCAGGATTATGAGGAAATAGATGTGCTCCCCTTTAAGACAACCTGACATATCCAAATCTAAAAAAACAAATCTGAGAAAGATAACTCCCAATTATTACAAAAACATTCACATTCCCTTGTACCAGTTACACAAGTATGTTCAGTATCTGTCCCAATTTACACAATTGTCCAAAACTCATCCACTGTATAACAGAAAGCAAGACACCCACACAGATCAAAGGCAGGGAAGTGCAGAGGAAACAGAAACAAATAAATCTGGCTTGGCTTCTTCCTGATTTCCCCCAAAGTTCACACAACAAAAATGTATGGAGCACCCACTAGATAACGGGATTAGTGGGGAAAAGATGACTGAAAGTCTTGCACCCTACTCTCAGAGAGACCTTCTCAAGAAGAAACTAGAAAAAGAAGCATATAAATCCAACATACTCTCCCTCTAGTTCTCTATTCCTGCTACCCTACATCATGGGGTCAAAGGGCTGTTGAGAGATCTGCTTTATATAAATCGCCACCATGTCGCTAGCCTCCTTGCTGCTAGAAATCATGTGTAAATTTTATCTCTAGTATATCTAGGGAGTGTCTTTGAAAAACAAATATGCCCAAGAACCTAAAACTTCAACACATTTGGGGGAAATTGTTCACATCTCTTAAAATATTTAAAACAAAACCCTCTCAATATTGTGAGCCTAGGAGGCGGCTGCTGCTGCTGCTGCGGCTGCTGCTACCACCAAGTGGCATTTACTGAGCCCTCACTATGTGCCAGGCACAAGACTACCCGTATCGCTGTATTAACTCATTTATTCTTCAATTAACCGTAGGAGGTCTAAACTGTTATTATCTTCAACTTGCAAATGGGGAAACTGGGTTCCTAAGCACTGACGAAGTTAGGCACGTCAGACAATCCGTGCCAAAGCGAAGTTTCAACTCCCGGCGGATTACATCAACGCAGGGGCTTTCAACACTTGAGCAACTAGCAAAGGGCCTACAGAGCAGCAGAGGTTATGGGCTTGGTGTATTCTACCTGGACATCCCCTGACAAAGACCTGGGACCTAGGTGTCCTCCCAAAGGAGGGCAAGGCCGGGAAAGAAACGGCTGGCAGGAGTGTCAGGCCAGGACAGCAGCAGGGGAGCCTGTCGCGAAGGTCACTGCCAGTTTCGGGCAGAGCAAAGGTCAAATCCCAGACAAATCAGACGGAGAACAAGCACCAGCAAAGTCCCGGCTTTCCTGTGGGCACGGGAGGCGCTGGGAAAGGTAGCTGGGCATCCAGAGTCCCCGATTCCCGCCGGGAGTGGGTAATACGGGAAAGAACTTTGCGGTGCGACGGAAGGGAGTCAGCGACGCCACCGAGCAGCGAGACGGAGCCGCGAGGGCACCCCAGAAGAGCGAGGCGAGAGGCAGGCCTCCAGGGTGTGGGCCCGGAGCGTAGAAGGTGGCAGAACCAGACTGGGCCCAACCAGCCAGACGCCACCCACCGGG